ATTGGGGTTAGGATTGGGTCAATTTGAGGGCTAAAATTGAAAAGTAAATAGGCTGTAATTGCAAAGAAATGAGGCTAAATGTTAAATAGCCAGTTTTCCCTTTTTTTTATAAAAATAGTAAAAATGGTTTTAAAAGCAAATTAAAAGTACTAAGTCAGTTAATAACACATAAATATTGAATTAAAAATGCTGGAACCAATTTTTATAATTAAAATGTTATTGGACTTAAAATAGGCTAGAACTGCAATTATATGCAATTTAGCTTTTTAAAATACCAAATAAATTTGTACAAATGTGCAGAAATCACCTTAACTATATTTTGGTGTAAAGGTGGGAATAAAATAAATTATTCACCAAAGTTGATATTTTTTGGGAATAATCACTGATTTTGTACTGCTAAAATGGACAATAACTTGATTCTAAAAATCTTTAAAAAATTGGGAAAAATACCAAATTCTTTAGTCATGCTTATATATGCATATATACGTTATTTTGAAAGTGTTTTGTATATAAAAAAATACATAGGGAAAAATTGGGTATAAACAGCTGCCCCTCTTTACCCGGGAAGGATGGAAGAGCTGTCGGGTAAAGATATGATGGCCAATTTTGACCGAACGGAATGGTTTGAAGCGATTGACCGTGCTCTGGTTCCTGAGCTGCCTACATATCCCTGGTCTTACAGGAATCAGGTCGTATGAAGTTCGGGATCCGTCGGCGGAACATGCCGATGGAGATTTTTCAAGAACTGACGAGATATTCGGGTTGGGGTGGTGGTTATGAGTTTAGTAGGGCTGCGGGAACCGGAGCGGGATCGCCTTGCTGGGATGGCCATTGCTCGCCGGTTTACCTGCAAATAAACAATACGAGCGCATATATTGTGCATAAATTTAAACGTGGTGCAAGTTCCCGTTAGACCATGAATGCTGTCTTTGGACGGTTAGGATGACGTCATCGGACCATGATGTCCTGGGCCATGAAGCATATAATAAAGGACTCACAGGCTATGAAATGATGTTCTCAGGCTATGAGAATGATGCCTCTGAACCATGATGCCTTTGAATAATGATATGCAAAAGACAAAAGCGGTCCTCAGGCCATGGCATAGCGTTCTCGGGCTATTAAAATGGTGCCTCCGAACAATGACGCCTTTGGACAATTTGGCAATTTTTCAGCCCATGGAGTGCAAAAGGTGGCGATCTTTCAGCCGATGCAAGATTCAAATGGAGTGGCGACATGCAAAATGTAAATAAAATGGCGATCTTTCAACCGATGCAGGATATTAAATGAAGTGGCGATATTTCAGCCATGCGGAAAAATGTAAATAAAATGGCGATCTTTCAGCCGCTGCAGGATTTAAATGAAGTGGCGATATTTCAGCCATGCAGATTGAGACAGAGCTTAGTCTCGGAAGGAAGAATAGTAGCCTTATGCAATGCAAGAAATGCAAGTGGAGACAGGGCTTAATCTCGAAAGGCAGAATAGTAGCCTTATGCAATGCGGGAAATGCAAGTGGAGGTAGAGCTTAACCTCGAAAGGCAGAATAGTAGCCTTATGCAATGCAGGAAATGCAAATGGAGGTAGAGCTTAACCTCGGAAGGCAGAATAGTAGCCTTATGCAAAAGATGAAAGTAAAATATTTCTTAGCTGATGGCTGATAGCTGGTTGCTGATTGTGATATTGTGGCTGCTGGGGATATTGTATGCGGATAGCGATAATTTCGAGAGTCGTATTCCTGAGCAGTAGGAGTGCGTAATATATAAGCTTGTGACTTGGGTGGCTGCATCCAAAGAAAAATTGTGAGTTTTGTAAAGGGAATGGTTAGTTTGTGACCCCGCTGCCTTTGCTTGTTTGGTTCGGCTCTGATTTGGTGATACTGTGGGTATCCTTGGGGTAGCGTTTCTAAACAAAGCAATCCGACAATAAACATGCATGAGTTTGTTAAAGATATGACATACGTATATATTTAAGAAATAGTTTTTAGATGAACCGACGACTGTGACGTGGTTCGGGACATTGCAACCTCTCCTACTGCAGAATTTTGAGGGTCCTCCTCAAAATTCTTCCCCAGTTTAATAGGTTGATACTTCTGACAGCTGCTTGCGATGATCGGTTGAAGTTACTTCGGAATTTTGAGGGTCCTCCTCAAAATTCTGCCCCAGTTTCCAATTGCGGGGGAAATGAAAAATTTTATTGAATTGTGACCGAACCCATAAGGCTGCCTATGTATCCCCTCTTAAACGAGAATCAGGTCAGACGTAGTTCAAATAACAAGTGCGTTCCAACAAAGAATACCGGGCCTCGTACGGGGTGAACTTCTTGCTGAGATAATAGATGGCCCGCTCTTTTCTCCCCGTTTTATCATGCTGCCCCAGAACACAACCAACCGCTCCATCTAGTACCGCAAGGTAGAGTAACAGGGGTCTACCTGGCTCGGGCGGAACCAGAACTGGCGGTGATGACAAGTACTCCTTGATTCTGTCGAAGGCTTTCTGGAAGTCATCGGTCCATTTGGTAGCGGCGTCTTTCTTCAGCATCTTAAAGATTGGCTCACAGATGATAGTAGATTGTGCTATGAACCGGCTGATGTAGTTAAGTCTCCCCAAGTAACTCATTACTTCTTTCTAGTTCTTTGGCGGTGGCAATTCTTGGATAGCTTTGACCTTTGATGGATCCAATTCTATCCTTCGGCGACTCACAATGAACCCAAGCAATTTTCCAGCTGGAACCACGAACGCACATTTTTGCGGGGTTCAATTTCAGGTTGTACCTTCTCAGTCTACTGAAGAATTTCCTTAAATCTTCCATGTGATCAGCAGCTTTCTTGGACTTAATGATGACGTCGTCTACATACACTTTGATCTCCTTGTGTATAATGTCATGGAAAATGGTGGTCATGGCCCTCATGTAGGTGGCCCCTACATTCTTTAACCCAAACGGCATCATCTTGTAGCTGTACATTCCCCACGGCGTAATGAAAGCCGTTTTCTTAGCATCTTCTTCATCCATCCATATCTGGTGGTATCCAGCAAAACAATCAACGAATGACTGCAGCTCATGCTTGGCGCAGTTGTCAATCAAGATGTGTATATTCGGCAAGGGGAAGTCGTCTTTTGGACTGGCCCGGTTGAGATCCCGGTAGTCGATACAGACTCTGACCTTCCCATCCTTCTTCGGCACTGGCACAATATTGGCTAACCATGTCGGATACTCTACTACCCTGAGAACCTTAGCTTTGACCTGCTTAGTGACTTCTTCCTTGATTTTCAAACTCATGTCAGGTTTGAACTTTCTGAGCTTCTGCTTCACTGGTGGACATGCCGGATCAGTCGGCAATTTGTGAGCCACAATGGATGTGCTTACACTACTATAAATTAGGTCTATGGCAACCCTTCCGAAACCGTGGCAATAGATACACTAGCTGTCCCTATAGGGCTATCGGAACGGATTTGGAGGCGTTCCGGGATTCAGTGTTACAATAGATCTATTGGAACGGTTATTTGTAACGGTTTCAAAACCGTCTCCATATAAGGGGTATTGTAACGGTTATGGTACTCTTACCAGTGCTCTATATGGGAACGGTTGTATTTTCTAGTGGGACGGTTATAAACCGTTGTGGTATAATTATTCCAGCGACTTTTTAAGTCTATTGCAACGGTTTTGATGATATAACGGTTTTTGTGATATTGGAACAATTATGAGTACCCTACTGCAACGGATATTGTTACATATTGCAACGGTTATTAGGGGATGCTATTATTATTTGCTTTGGTCTATTGGAACGGTTATATGCTCTATTGCAATAATTCACAATTGAATTTCTGATATTTATGGAAGCAAAATGAGGAATATTTTCCTATGCAATGAAATTTTTTAACTCATAACTTATATAAACCACAAAATAAAATTAAAATATTCAACTAGCATTACTCATATACAAAAACAAAATGTGAATACATTGTTTGATCAACAATTCAAAAGTCAAAATAGATGAGTTTGCATACAAAAAGTTCTAAACCAAAATATCTTTGAACATGATGATAGAAAGTTTAACAACGATCAACAACACTCAGGTAAGGTCTTCGTCACTGCTTTCTTCCGCAATCGGTGCACCTACAAAAGACAACCAGAAATAATTAAATAAATTTTTTAAAAGATAATTGAATCACAAAGTAATTGAATGACCAATTTGATAACTCCAAAATTTTCAAACGCTCTAAATTCTTAAATTTTTGGCAGAGTTTCCTTTGTAAATAGGACCATCCCAAAATTTTCAACCTGCTCAAAACATCATTATCCTTGTTGTGGTGCATATCCAAATCAGATGAATTCTCTTACCTGCCTATGAAAAGCAGAATGTTTAACCTAAACAGTTCCACATAACTATGCTATGTCCTTTGTCTTTTGATCTTACAGGTTTCCGAGATACAAGCAGAATACTTTCCACCAAAATTGACATTGTTATTCAAAATGAGATACCANCCTTGAGTATAACGGTTAAGCGTTACGACGTAATGGGTATAAAGTGAGATTTTCTCAACAAAATAACTTACATTTTGCGGAGACGCTCGGTTTTACAATGGTTTTTCCGGGTTATGAATTTTCGGTGACGAGAATATAATAATTTAATCGCGTAAAATCCATAAAAGAGAAAGCATCTTCTACCAATTTTTTTTTCTTACTCGAAACTCAAACTTGAGATCTCTTATTAAAGAGATGGAGATTATATCAACTTTAATTTCTTGTTTAGTTTTTTATTGCATATATAACAGACAAGCCCCAGCTCAATCACTCAACGTGGCCAATATATAATCTTTCACCTACTTAGAGAATATCTTTCGTAACAACCAAAAAAAACAGCTAGTAGCATAACAAGCCAAACTCCTTTTTTTTTAATTCTCCAAACATATAGAGATAATGTCTATCGTAGAAAAATAATATAAAAAACTTCTTCGATTCAACGTCCCAAAAACAAGTTCAGTTTAAACATAAAGAAGGGAAAACTATGACTCTGACCTTCGACGGGATGCCAACCGCTTCAGAACCGGCGAACCGGCCGGTTCAGCAGTCCGTACACTATCCACTCCTTTTGCTCCAGACCGGATGTTCAGTGCAGCCCTCACCTTTTTCCAGAACCCGGTTCTTATTGCCTTGTCTTTCTTTGATTTCGACCGGCGAATCCTTCCGGTGCAGGTCACTTTTGGAGAACCCGGTTCAGTTACTCGCATCATCATCTTTCTTACCGGTTCAGACCGACTTCTGGTGAACCGGAATTTTGATTTTGCCACCTTGTTGACCCGGAGATTTCCATCGGCCGAGAAAGATTTTCGAGTTTTCGGAAGTGCAAAAAATGATGTATTTGGTTTTTGGCTTAAAGATGAGAAAGAATGGTAAGACAAAAGTGCCTTGGAATTTTTCTTGGACTTGCATGAAAATGCAAACTTCATTGAACTTTTCCTTTGCATGGCTGCATTTTGATCAAACCAATCACGTTCAGAATCTTTAGAAAGCCAAAATGAATCGGGTGGATCATGATCAGAATAGCTCGTTGGAAAATTCTTAACATGTTCTTTGCCGGGAATATTAGGGTTTGCTAGATGAGGTTGCTGAGACATACTCATGAACTGCAATGACAGAATCTAGAATTTAGACGTTGTGGCTTTTGAATTGAGGGCTGGAAAGTATATATGTCTATAATTGTTTTCGCACATATACATATAAAAAGGATCAAAGCATGTACTAGATTCTGCCAAACCCGTAAACTTGTGATTGGATTACACACTCATTCAACGTGTGATGGATGTCTCGCGGAAATATATATCTTGCTACACTCTCAATACTATACTTAGGGACTATATATGGTTACCAAATAACGATTGAATCTTAATAACATAAGCGAGAATGAGCGAGGTCTTGTCAAAGTCAGGCCTAGTAGTGGTGCTTGCAGCTTTTCCTATTTTTGGCTTGAGCTGAAAATATTGTACAGATCAAAAAGGAATTCAAGCTTTCTGGCCTTTCAAGCTCTCATATATCCTTTAAAGCTTGATGGTTTCCTAATTCTTTTCACAGAGAAAATATTGTTGGTATTTACAAAAACTTCAACCATAGAAGGGGGAAGGCTTTTTGATGAAAAAGTCTTTTTGTCTTGTAAATAATTATGAATGTGCTGTGAGAGAAAAGATGGATAAAAGAGCGAGATATAAAGGGTGGAAGAGAGGGTTGGGGTTGGGGTGGGCTAAGACAAGTGCTTTAGACCCCACAAATTGGGGCCCCATTTCCCAATAGTTTGACTAGGTGTATAGTTAGTACGTAGTACTTTTTATTTATATAAAAAAAATATTTAATTTTGATAAAATTTTGATAAAAAAGGAAGAGAATTTCTGGGTATAACTAACTGATTTTACTTACTTTTTTTCCTTTCACACTAGAACGTATTCTTTAACTCCTTTTCTCCATTTTTCCACAAAAACTATTATTAGGTACAAAATAAAGGCTTGAAATGCATTGAAAAAGGTATATTGCATATTCTTCTTCGTTCAATCTAGGACTTAAGCAGTGCAACAAGAATTGAAGCATTGAATTATCAACATCTACAATTAGGTTCCATTTTCTTGCTTTGTATTTTTTTATCCAAATATTTGTGTTACTTTTACTTGTTAGGTATATTAATAATTACATATAATATTTTTCTTAAAGTTTAACTTTAGGCCACCAAATTTGTTGGGCCGCCCGAAGAAGATTGGGCGATTTCCTACCGGAAAGTGACAAGAATTCATGATCATAGTTGTTGTAATAAATGAGTCAATGACAAACGACTAGCGTTAATTATACCAGGACAAATGGGATAATTTGGCTCGAAATGTACATTAATTAAAATTAAAACATTTTTTTCTGTTTGAAAAGGACATGTTTGTTGCCAAGCAATCATGCATTGGAGAAAGTCTTTGCAAAAAAAAGTGGCTGCATTTTAAACGAGGTACTCGTGTTCTGTTTGTTTAAGGATTCAAATAACTGGTCAGATAAAAATGATCTATGTTTCTTGTTTTGGTTTTTGGTTAGCCGTTGTTTAGCATGAGGTTGTAGCTGCATTTTTTTAACTAGGATAAATATATCTCTACTTTAACCCTGGTGTATTTGGTATGATATTGTTTTAGAGAAACATATATATCAAATGTTACCAAACTGTGTAGTGCAAGTTTAGGACCGCCGTCCAAACTGCATATATGTTTGAATGAGCCGTACATATTTTCGGAGGGTAATATAAAATAGTTATCCGTTTCAAAAAGATTGTGACTATTTTCTTATTTGTCCATTTTAAAAATTGACAGCTTTCAATATTTCCTTAATAAAAAATACCTACAGCCACACAAGCCATATAACAGATTTCAAACCATAAGTTTTTAGTTACCAAAAAAAAAGTTAAGATAGATAACGTGTACTATAAAAGGTCAAGTTATCGTTTTGTACACTGAAAGTATATTGATTTTCTATAACATCATGTTAGTTCATGACGAACAATAATCGATAACTCTTTATCAAAAAAAAACTAAGAGTAGTAATATATATATATATATATATATATATATATATATATATATTAAATTACAATAATAATGTAAATAAATTTTATTGTCAGTGCATATAACTTAATTTAATTTATTATAAAATTATTTACCTGTAAAACGGTACAGTTGAATTTATGCGTGGTTTATAGACAAGTGAATCGATTTGATCCCAAAATGATAAATAAATTAAACAAGGATGTAAACCTTAGCGTTGAAATCGAGGTAAGACAGCAAAAATCCTAGGACCTTGGCGGGAGATTCTCTGACCCCCTTTGAAAAAAATTTGACGCTTGATTAGACGCACGTCTCTCCATATTTAATGCCCCTAACACGCGTCATCCCACGATTCAACAACACTTTCACCAGTTTTCGAGGTAATCATGTCCACGATTTTAGCCGCCTATTCCTTTATACGCTTCAATCTTCTTCTTTTACACTTCATAATTTTCTAAATTCTTTCAAACTTTCTCTACTCAACTCACACTTGCTTTCAACTTCCTTTAATCTTCTTCTTCTTCAGAGAAAAACCCTTACATCCTTCGGATAACTATGGCCTCCTCTTCTAAAAATTCCACTTCTTCAAAGAACAAAGAAAACACTGATGATGTTGTTTATCATACGGTGAGCACCATTATCCCAGAAAGCTTACTGCAACTAAGGACTTCGAAGAGAAGTTCCCTTCTACTAACCCCCGCACATGGGCTGTTGGCGTGTATCCTTTTTCCATCTGTCCTTCTAGCATCCCTGTTGTGAAGGAAGCCAGTGGTTGTTAAGATTTGGACATCATCGCTCCTGACCTAGCGGATCCGGTAACCTTCTCCAAGAAAGGTTTCATGTACGTTTACACGTACCCCTTCACTTTGGACCCGTTATCATTGAGCGGGGGGCTTGATTCTGTTATCTTGGAGTTTTGCTTCCGTTACCAAGTTTGCTTGGCACAGGTGAGCCCTTCTGTGTGGCGGACGGTTGCCTGTCTTCGGCGTCTATGCCAGGAGACGGGGGAAGAGTTATCCCTGGCTTGATTGATGAATCTTTATTCCCCCAAGATTTTTCGTGGGGGAATGATAAACTTCAGTAAACGTGGACACCATGCTTTGCTCACCAGAATGGACGGTGACAACGACCATGGATGAATGGAGCGGTTCGTTATAGTTGCCACCAGGGACATCATCCCGGCCGCAACTCCATCATTTCCTGAATCATAGAACCGTACTCATGAGTTTAGCGTCTATCTTTTCTTCTAGTTAAAGATTGTCCCGTGTTATTACTGATCCTTCTCCTTTCATTATTTCAGCAACTCGGTGGACACCACCAATGGTTGAAGGCTTGGACCAGTGGGTCCAGAAGATTTTGGACATCACTACACCTAAGACCCGCCGGTGGAAAGAACTGGCCCTTAAATATGAGTGGAAGGCCAAAAATCATGTTAGGTTGAACTTATCTTGTTTTTACCTTACGTATAGGAAAACTGGTTAACTTTTCTTTCTTGTGGAATTTAGGTCTTCCGCAAGCCTCTGTTACCATCCCTGAGGAGGACGTTTTGGCTGATTTTGTTGATGCGGTGAGGTTGTTGCAGGAGGCTTTCACCCGAATAGGTGTCATTAGGCCTGCCTCTAGTGCAAGTGCTTCCTCTCGGAGTCCCCGGTCGGAGAACAAGCAACAAAAAAAGCGACGTTCCTCTACGGCCGAGGGCAAAAATAAAAAGGCGAAGAATGCTGTGCTCGAGCCAGCCGCAGACGTTGTAGTGATCGACGATAATGGAGGAGCCAGTGATGAGGAGGATTCTCTACATAGAAGACGATGACCTTCATCAGCTCAATAGAATGATCAATCTGCTGAGCCAATAATACCAACCGATGATGACACCCAAGTGCTCTAGAGGAGTTTGATATGATGGATGATGCCAACTATCGTGTCCGATCCCCAATCGTTGCTTCCGGTATTGCGAGGCTGAGTACCAGGTCTCTTCCGTCTTCGGTTGTTGAACAACCAATAACTAGCCCTACTTTTGCCGCAGGTTCTTCTCAACCTACAACGCCATCAACTTCATCTCATTCCTCGCCAATCGCGCCTTCTCCACCAACAACTGCTATATCATTTCCACCGGCCACACACACTCGAGAGGAGGATGACCCTCCTTCCCAGTCCCCAGTCCATGGGAATTTAAGGCATAACTATTCGCCCCCCTCCGAAGATCCTCAGATGAGGAGGAGCGTTTCCCTCTCGATTTCTACCAGGTGCCATGTGCTGTCCCGACCAGTGGAACTTACCAATTACCTGAAGCCTCTAGCTTCGGAGAAGGATAGGAATAAATACAGTCTCTCACGCGAGAGTGTATGGTAAACAATGACATGCACAACGCGACAGCAGTAAGATATATGTTCCCTTTGTTGTTCCTTGTATCTTTGCTATGACAAGATTTTTAATTTGAACTTTTGCTTTGCAGGCTAACTTCCTTGTTTCCGAAGGCCTTCAGAGGTTGATCCTTGATAAAGAAAAACTCACATCCGAGCGGGTTCAACTATTGGCCGAGCGGGATCAAATTGTTGCTCGCCTACCTATACTGGAAGCACAAGCTGTTGAGGTCGCAGAGTTGGAGGCTCGGTTATAGTAAAGCGAGCAAGAGGTAGTGACCCTCAGCCAAGAAGTCGCGCTGTTAACGGTACAATTTGAAGATACCAAGGCAAAGTGGGTCGAGGTCCAAAATGTTGCTCTTGCTGCTACTGATCACGAGGCTGCCTCTACTAAATGACTAAATAATTTGGAGGCAACCTTGAACTCCAAAGCAGAAGAAGCTGTTGTTGCTGAGGAAAAGTATGCCCGGTTGGAAGAGAGGCATAAAAGGTCATATAACATAATAAAGTTTATGACTCCACTATATGTGACCTTGATGTCAGCCTCCAGGCCACTAGATCTGAGTGGAATAACCTTTTGACCGAGGTTGACCAGCTTAAGGAAGAGCTTCAGCGCCGAGTGGCTTCCCTCATTGTTGAAAAAACATATTCTATGTATACCATAAGGAGAAAAACCTTGGAAGAGGCCAAATCGGG